GTGGAAAAGAAAATGGACACTACCGCAGTATGTATTGGGGTTATATTGGGATAATGGAAAAGAAAATGGAAGCTATTATAGTATATTCCGAATGATAAATGCCGGACATGTTGTTGTTTGGGGTAGTGGGGGTTCATCATAGGGTGTGGTTTTTGTTAAGATTTTGAGGCTATCAGTGCTGTCTACGCAGTTTACAGGGATGAAGTGACTTTAGAACCACTCCACACTCAGGTCTCCCTACCAAATAGTAGTTTCCATGTTTTCCATCATCCCAATATTACCCCAATATCCTATAGTAATCCCTACATAACCCCTGTATAATCCCTATAGTTATCCCTATTCTTTACCCCTATAACACAGTATCCCTTTGGGTGCTACTGCTGTGGGAAAGGAACCCTTGCTTGGTTCTCTGGCAAGAAGCACACATGCAGACCCTAACTTGAGAATTGAGAGTTGTGGGCAGGACCCAGTGGCTCTGAGACCATCAGGCCATCACACGTTGCCTCCTGTGCCCGGGAGTGGAAAATCAAGTGGACAATTCAATGCAGATTTACTTGCAGGTTGTTGGTCGAGAGATCATGAAATGGAAGCTGGGGTTAGGGGGTGATATAGGACCAGCTGGTTGTTAGTAGGAAATGAAGATGGAAAAGAATGTCGAGGCTTCTATTTCCATTTGAGACTGGATAGGGCTGCTATAGGGATCCATTGATCCATTTCCTACTAGGAACCAGGATTTCTGCCTGAGTCTGGATTACACCACACGAAAGTTCGGACATGTTCGCGTAAACCAGATGGTGCCGGTAGTGCTTGTGCTTGAAAGCAGAGGATGAGAAGCCCCTTAGACAAAACCTGTGACGTTGCCGGCAGGCTTTTGAATCCAAAGCCCCTTATATAACCCCTATATAACCCCTATATAATCTCAATCTAACTAACCGCTATATAACCCCTGTATATTAACCCTCAGACACCAGGTGCCTAACCCCCAAACCTTGTGTAAGTCCAGCCCCCGGCAGGCCCTACAGATTTCGCCCGTGCGGCGCTCCAATGCCTGGCGGAACTCATGGCTCGATGCTCCGAATGCAGGGGGCTAGGGTTTGAGGCGGTTGTCTCCGGGTGTATCCCTAAAGAATACTCGGAAGGAACATGGACACTACAATTCACTCATCAGGGGCAGGAGACGACCATGGAACATTTTGTGACAGACCCGAGGAAGCCGACAAGGCTTGTCGCGGATCGAGCTTCGAGCTTTGGCCTGGTTCTTCGAGTTCATGCTCAGCGCTGAGGCTGGGGTCCAGGGTTTGACTGTATATTTGGAGGTTCAAAGGACTGGGGTCGTATTCCGAAGTAGACGCTCCGCTCATTGGATTATACATCGATAGCTGCTGAGTTCCATCATGAACTTTCAACTATGGTTGAGGAGCGTAAGGTCTAGTGTTTTGGATGCTTCGCTGGCATTAAACAGGAAGATAGCATTACCACCTAACAATGCGCTCGCCATGATCTGATCGTCCGAATTCTACATCCAACGCAGCTTGGATATGTCCCAATATTAGATACAACCTTCATTGCCCGTAACCGAGATGATGCCCACTTTCAGCTATCCTGACACCAGATCCAACATCAAGATGGTTCCAATTATGTCTAGATCAAACCACGCACCAGAGGGCACACTCTATACTGTACACTGTAGATCCAGTCCAGATGATCCTAGACCCTCCTCAGACGTAGCGCAATGTATTCCGGATGCGTGGCAGACAGAAAAATAACAGCAACAAGTAAAGCCTTAGGCACCAAGAGCTTACACAAAGCTTTGGCATGCAGCAGCCATGAAGTTTAAATCCATGCCAAGTCGGCGAGCCTGAGAGCCCTAAATGATCTTAGGGTACGGTGATTTAATTTCTATGCACCAGGTACCCTAAACCCTAATCCTTAAGCCTACGCAAAGCCCTCAACCCTTAAACTTCATCCCATACCCTGAAACCTAACAATTGCCAACCCTAAGCACCAAATCGCAGAAGTCCTCTTTTTCCTTCAGCAGGGACGGGACGAGAGCCAGATCGAAGCTCTACGCAGCAGCGTTATGGAAGAACTGGAAGCACGGCAGCCTGGATCAAGTTTCAGGTATGGAGTAGGGGTTAGGATATAAAGTGTTTAGGGAAGAGGTGCAGGGTGCTGCACCCTGACCCAGCGACAGAGTGGAAGTGGGTTGGCTTGCCGGAGTTCTGAAGATCCCACTCCAAACCACCCTGTTTTTCACCGCGCGGCATGGCTTGAGTGGCCAGTGCTTTGGCAGGTCCGATTCGTAGATAAGTTGTTCGGACGTACGAGCTCGGGAGGGCCCTCGCTCTCAGGGGGAGGGTATAGTGACGTGTGGAAACTTTGCTTTCATGAATCTCAGTACTCTCATGCTTCAGTATGCTGTGCTGAACCTCTGCAACATCAATCTCAGGGAGAGCTTGTCTTTTCATAGGTGTGTCAGGTTGACCTGCGCTGCATCATGTTTTAGCCATTAATTCATGCGGTAACGAAATATTGTGTGTCACCATGTATCTCTTGGAGCATCAGAATGATGATGCTTACCACGATGATGGAGTAGTGTTGCGCCCAGTGCACGTCGCTTTGCAAGTGGGCACAAAAGCCCCTGATTTACTGCCAAGGGGCGTGCCCAGCTTCACCAGTGTGAAGGCAGGAGTCCCAGGTGGGGACCTGCCGCTCTGCGTTGGAGATGTCTTGCCGCGTGATAGCACCCAGTAAATTGCCAAAAAGAAGGACCATCTTTTGCCCCGAAAGATTAAGATTTCGAGAGCAATCCGTAAAACCAGCATCGGCTCTGCTGTACGTCTGCTCTATGCAAGGTTAGATCTTACGATGGAGCATTTATTCATGTTGGAACGCTGTGCATCAGGGTAGCCAGTAAATACCAAAATACATATTTGGAATTTTGTTTGTTCACCAAAACGTTGTGCGTCTTGTCATAGAGGCCACCCAAATGCCAAACACTTCTGAGAATCATTTATGTTTGACCTAACATACTTGTTGCGCCAAGGACTCTCATCCATGATTTCTGTGATGCCCTGGACCTGGAGTGCCCCTGGCCAAGAGATTTGGACAACCACTTGGACGTCATTCTGTTTGTCGCTTTACCGCACTTGGACTGAAGAACGGAGCTTTCTGCTTGTGTCGTTTTTGGAATTTCGCTTCTGACCACCCAGACCAGGTGAATCTCATGCAGGTTGCAACCTCAGAGAAACAGGTATGCAATGCGAGCCCTTTGCAGTGAGTGTTTGTTGTTTGTCCAGCTGGGATAGTCTTATCTTCCAGAAAGAACAAGTAGTGTAAGTCTTTGACAGGCCTTTCAAGCGATGAGAGCTTCAAGAGCCAGCTGAGGCCTTCAGCGACGGCCCGTGGCACCTTGGAAAGCTCAAGTTCGTCTTGGGTTGGGGGTTTATGGCTGTCAGTCTAATCTTCACATGTTGATTGCGGTCATGACAGGCCTGCACCACAAGAATCATCACTGACGTCCGCCGCCGCCGCCGCCGCCACGGCCACGGCCACGGCCACCGCCACGGCCATCGCCACCACCACCGCCACCGACACGGCCACCGCCACGGCCACCGCTACCGCCATCGTCACCGACACGGCCACTGCCACCGCCACGGCCACCGCCACCGACACGGCCACGGCCACCGCCATGGCCACCGCCACGGCCACACGACACCGCCACTGCCACTCAGCTCAGGAAACCTGCACTTCAGCGGAGCCTCACAGCGACCCGGGCCGCGCAGAAAGCCCGGCAGCTGATTCCGCAGTTGCCACTTTCACAGGCACCTGGTCATCAGGTTTAGGGTTTAGGTTTATGGGTTGGGTTACGGTTGAACATTTACGCTCACGCTTGCTGCAATTGGACTACATGGGATTGGGTGGGGTTTCTCAAAAACTTAGATCCCTGTTGGCTCCCTGATCTGTGCTAAGAGTGCGGCTTCAGCATTTCTGCTCTACTGTTCTCAGCTTGTGTTACCTTGGTCTAAACGGCTTGACTGCTTACATCCAGCGGGAGTAGGAGTAGGCGATGCCCGGCTACCGGCTGGGCCGCCACATTGCGCTCATGTACTTGTAAGGCCCGAAGAGCGGCTAATCCTTTTCCTGCATTGGATTATAGAGGTGTTGACGCAGAGCCAAAGCTAAGCATTTGCAACTCAAATTGCTGCCAAAACCTCGCAACCGTGCAGGACACCGTGAGGCAGCGCTTCAGGCCACTGATGGTCTCTTAACTGGGGCGAGATAGTTGCAGGTGAGTAGACTTGGAGCATTATGGCAGAAGCCAATTCCATTGCCCAATAATGTTGGGCCCTTTAATCTTGCCCCCCCCCCCAACACTAGGGCCCCCGAGGTTCGTGTGGATTGATTTGGAGGGGATGAATCAAAGCACATCAAAGCAGGCCTCAAATCATCACCCGTGACCCTGAATAAGGCGGCTACAAAACACATTATAGAAGGCCTCGGTACTAACGGAGGTCCAACATTAGAGTGGACACCAGCGTGCGAAGTCCGTGGTTCTCCATGCAGTCATGATCCACTGACGGTAACCTCAGCCAGGAAGATAACACGCCTGGTCGAAGAAGACCGCGAGCGCGCAGAAGATACTGCCCTGGCCCTGGCGCTGGCCTCGGAGCCGGACGTGGAGGAGGAAGCGCTGGCAAGCTCGGATGGACTGAGATGGTATTGACAGCTGTGCTTGTCCAGGAGTTGGTGCAGGCTGAGCCCGTGGTCCAGGACTAAGTGTTCAGTGTTCAGCCTATTCCAACAGCTTCAGCGGTCTGTACTACGCATCACTCTTGTTTAAAGCTCATCTGCTAGGAGCCAAGCTCCGTGACAGTGCCAGCCCCGCAGACAGTGCCATCTTCGCAGACGCTGTCCGAGCCAGTAGAGCCAGTAGAGGATGAGGCCTCCGTTACGAAGCAGGCTGGCCTGATTGACTGCAGACAGTCCCGCATTTGGCCTCACCTTCAACGCTGCTCATGTGACTGATGCCCCGGATATCTGACAGGCAACCGACACCCGCAAGCTGAGCGACGTGCGTCAGCGACGTGATGAACGCGTAAGGTGGGTGGCTTGGTGCTGAGACAGTCCTTAAGGCCCCGGGCCACTTAGTCAAATAGGGTTGGTCTTGAGATGGCCTGAACTTTTTGTGTTCCAGTGGCCCAGGATGTCGTGGAGCCTGATGACGAGCCGGCCCCTGCAACTACCAGTGACCTGCTTGCAACATCAGCTGAAACGACCTGTGAAATTTGAAATGGCCTTCCTGCGGCTCCTGTACACTCCATGTAGACCAGCAAAGTTCTTTGTCGTGCCCCCCTTGCAATCCCATTAAATCCCGAAATGATTCCCGTAGCGCTTGCTTGATTTCAGCACATTCCTGCCAGAATCTATGAGGCCGACTATGGCAAACCCTCATCCAAAATTCCTAACTAGGCCCCAAGTTCTAAACCTAAACCCTTCTCTCGGCTGAGCACAGGTGACTGGCAGGACATGCGTGCGGCCTGTGCTGGCAGACCGCTGGGACGGGCGTCGATGTTTCCTGGCTGCCTTGTGGGACATGGCATGGGCTTTAGGGTTGAGAGCAAAAAACATATAAAATGTTACCGATGAGTGTTTAGAGCTACTCTACCAGACTCAACAGCCCCTACTGCATCAAGCTTTGGGCAGGTAAAGGTTGTATTCGGGTTCTTGGGTGCAGGAGTTTGGTTTTATGATCTAGAAGGCTCCCGGTTGAGAAATATTGCTTTGCCGATTCGATTAAAAGAGGAGCCTTCTTCACTCTCAAACGCTACAGCTGGGAGTCCTTGCAAGCTGTGCCCCTTCGAAATTCTAATCTTGTCTGATTTCTCACCGAGTGGGGTGTTATTAACCCCGGCGGGGGTAACGTACCGGGATGCAATCTGCAGATTCTTTTGCGAAGCACTCCACGAACTCATGCCCTCGTTGGCGAGTGCCACGGGCCACACTTTCACAGGGTTTTGCAAGGCAGGAGGTCGCCAGATGAAACAAGAGGGCCTTACCGGCAGTTTCCCAAAAAATTGCTCCAATGTTTGTACCCCTGAATACCTAGTGTGCCGGGTACCCACAGTTTCCATTTTATTTTCCATTATCCCTATATAACGCCAATATATTACAGCAGCTTCCATTTTCTTTTCCATTATCCCTAAATAACCCCAATATACTACAGTAGCTTCCATTTTCTTTTCCATGATCCCTATATAACCCCAATAGAACCCCAACATAATATAGTAGTTTCCATTGTATTTTCCATTATCCCTATATTACCCCAAGAGAAGCCCTATAAATCCCTAAACCCTAAACCCTAAACCCTAAACACAATATAGCCCCAACAGGTACATGCATCACATCACGGCTCCCTGGAAACAAAAGTTCATCCTTCAGGCTGGGCTACATTCGCTATGTGAGCCATAAGCTACACTCCTTAAAGGGGTTTAGGGTTTGGGGGGGTATATAGCGGGTTATAGAGGTATATGGGGGACTAATGTAATGGAGAATCAAGTGGAAAAGAAGATGGAAAAAGAAATGGAAACTGGGATTATGTAGTTTTATGAGCTATACTGTAAACTACTCAAAGGGGGTATATAGGGGATTGTAGAGGGGATTGCTATAGGGGTAAGTTAAGGGGGATACTAGGAGTTTAGACTATGGCTCATGTAAGTATCATGAAGGTTTAAAGTGGCATGACTGTTTGGGGCAAATCTAGATGGGTCCTATGTGATCTTGTACTCCTTATCATTTAAGCCCCGGGAGATTTCCATCCATTTCCTTTTTTCGCCAAGAGCCGTCCCCACTTGTCTTGGAGGTGGCGTCGAGTGCTGGCCTCTCGGGAAGGCAGCTGGGGCCGCTAAACCCAAAACCCTAACCCCTAATCCGGCCCCTTCAATGAAGATCGGAATTCTCTAGGGCAGGGCATGGCAATTGAAAACCTTATTTTCGGCAAGGGGATGAGTGGGATAAGTCCGGAGTAATCAAGGGTACGCAGAAGCTGTCTGAAAACCACGTCAGGGATTAGGGTGCCTCAGACCTCAGAGTTTGGCTTGCGTGTGCTCCTTGGTCAAGTTGGTCCCAGATAGCCACATGCTGTAATTGCTCAAGTCTCCCAGAACATGCACTTTTCTCCGCTTTTGGGCAGCAACGTCGGCTGAACTGTGGAGCCATCTTTCGTCAGTCCCCTTCAAAACCTCAGCTCATTTGCTAGGGAAGATAGTTGTGGCACGCGCAAACAGATTTCCTTTCTCACTGCCACTTATGCTTGAGCTTGTCTAGAGGTGCCTCTTCGGCAAGCCTGGCCGCATCCTGGTCGAAGGGCTCCTCAGCAGGCAGTTGGTGAAAGTGCTTCTTGCCGCATGCTGTCCCAAAAGTCTCAGGCCCATCGAGAGCCTTGGCTGATTTGCGCGAAAACCTTGCAGACAGCTTGTGCCCAATTAGCGGAACACTTGCTCAGATCCATTGGACAGGTGTTATAGGCCAGGCATGTAGACACGGGTTTGCATACTATTGAGGATTGTCGAAAAGTACACCAAGAAGATCGAGCCACCTGGCACAACATCGAACTGAGCCAAACAGACCAGCCGGACAGTCAAATTTGGAGCGAGAAATTGGCAGCATCTGCTAAGCACTTGATGAAGGTCATGGCCATGGAAGACCTGCGACTTGCAAGGCCCGTGGAAGGCTGGACTAAGAAATCTGGGAACAGTTGACCCACCATGCCCCAATCACACCCTGAAATAACCCAAAGTAGTTCTTTACAAGTAGGTTTTCTAGCCTCTTAGCAAGCCGGGTCCCTCGAAGTATGTGCGAAAACTCCTGAAATCCTTGAACTGAGCTGGCGATGCAAAAGGTGGAGGAGCGCGCCTTTGACGCCTTCGATCAGCTTGGCAGCAACTCTGAGTTCAAGAGACTTGTCTGTAGATGAAAGGCTTTCAACCTCTTTCTTCTGCCATGGAAGAGTTTAGGCTAGGGTTTAGGGATGTTTATTGGGCCTTGCACCTGGATTTAGGAAGATGACGAGAGCATTGGACTTTGAGGTTTGTCGTCCCCAAACATCCCACTGCGAACCCCTGTACTTACCGGGAGTTAGTTGGGAATATAGAATATATTCTGCGATTAGGGTTTGGGGCTTGCGTTTTGTGAGAGACCTTATGGCCACGCATGTTTCCACTACTTGTTCAGTGTTGGGCAAAGGCATTAATGGGGTCATCTGCTAAAAGGCCCTTGGAAGAATCTCATGTGCTTACCGCTTGAAAGTATATAGGGAGGAAGGAAATATCATGTAATCCCTACGGAAGCTTACAACCCAAAATCCACCCGCTGGAAAATGAACAAGACCAAGCTCTCCTACACCGACAGCTCACAATCCAAGCCCTTCCCACATCCCTGACTCTACTAGCAGCAGTTAAGAATGGCCGTGTGATAAGCATTTTGAGAGTTTGGGCTTCTAGTTTCTGCTTTTACGGGTCGTTAGGTTGCTAGTAAGATGTATGTTTGATGGTCTCCTCTAGCTCCATCCTGCAGGAAGGCCGTGGCACAAGCAGGGCTGAGCCAAGAGCTGCGAGCACTCCGCTCTGGAGCATGAAAAAGCGATGCGCTCGCGGATGTTGCCCGGACTTTACTGCTCCATTGTGCAACATGCCTGGAACGTCGAGGCTCACTACGCTTCCCCGTTTGCAACAACCGGCGGTACCGTTGCCCAGCACTAAGTCTGCGACCGGCTGCAAGATTTTCACCCGCTGCACGCTCCTTCAGCTTTTGTGCTTACTTGGGAAAACTCTTCAAGCGAAAAAGTTTGCTTCCTCCATCACTTGTGTGAACCTCTGAAACAGTTCTGGCTTCGCTTCATCTCATGAGGTTTCCATGGCCTGCCGTTGTTCTCGATCCTTGCAGATACCCGATGCACTCCCTGCAGCTCATCCATTTTTGACCCCATCTGAGGTCTTATCTAAACCCTGCACGTACTATTGAGGTAACGTCCCCTACACGACAATAAAGCTCAAAGGGCCAATTCCTGAACTTGAGCCCCCAACCCGTACACCCTTCAAAGTTTTAGGGTAGTGAAAGACAACAAGTTCCAATAGTTATTTCATACCCCGATGTAACCCATTATAAAATAGCAGTTTCCAGTTTATTTTCCATTATCCCAATATAACCTCAATATAACCCCTATAGTAATCACTATATAATTATAGTAGTTTCCACATTATTTTCCGTTATCCCAATATAACCCCAATACACACCCATTACCTTGGCACCTCCAGGTCCAGATTACGCAGGCTCCAGCCTTCCTCGTGCAGGATGCCACCGAAACGCTGGCATCCTGGACGGGAGCATCGTTTCTTACACATGTCTAGGGTTACTGATGAAGGGTTCAGGGTTCCCAATACTGTCTTCTTTGGGGCTTAGTATTGGGAGTCTTTCTAACAGATCGTTGTACGGGGAGAGAGACGGTCATGTGATGATTTGGAAGACTTGTTGTCGCCATATCGTTGCTGCTGCTATGTAGCTTGACGTTGGTACTTTGACTGATGGACTTTGATACTTTGACGATCATGATGTAATTATGTAGGGGCGGCTAGATTGGATAGCCAATTCTGTGTGCCTTATGTAGGCATTGCACAGCAGATTTGTCGGGATTACATGCGGGTCTGCTTGCTCAGCATTGAACGCTCGTAGCAGTGAGCGTGGACATGTGTTCCTTTTTCCACAGAACTCAAGCATTCAAGCAACCAAGAAGTATTTGTGCAGAAAGCACTTGCTTGCCACTTCCCCAACATTCCCCAATTGGCTTAAGTAGCCACTACCTATTGACGAGTTTGCCTGCTGAACCGCGGAAGAAGCAAGCCATCTGAAGACTGTCAAGCCAAAGGTCGCCAGCACAGCCTACATCGCAGGCGGGTGACGACAAGAATGTCCTGTAATAGGAAGTAGTAATCATGGTAATCATAGTAATAATTCTACTGACCATAGTAATTTGTAATAATATGTTCATAGTTTCAGGCAATTATCCGAATTTCTTGTGCAGGCCGAGGCATGCTAACACCCTTCCTATCTTTTTTTAGGAGTTCGGGTTGGGGGTTTAGGGTTTGAATTGCATGGCAGGCTTCATCCTTGCCGCTGGCGAGTGCAGCCGTGCTTGTTTCGGAGGCAGTCGGGCTTCAAGTTCACCCCACCAGGGGACAGCTTACTGGTTGTCAGTATATAGGGAATAAGGGAATACGGAATATACTATATTATAGGGATTATATAGGGATTGGATTCCCATATACCCTACGAACAACCAGTAAGATAGGTGCTGAACATGCTCGACCAGTGGAAGCAGGACATGGCCATACGCGTCTTCTCGGCAAAGTCACGTGCGCTGCTCTCCACTTTGCCGCCACCGCCCAATGCCAAGGCCAACTAACTGCGTTGCCATGCTTAAAGGGGGTTATATAGGGATTTACATAGGGGGACTATTATAGGGGTTATTAAGGGGGATGCTAGGAGTTTAGACTATAGCAATTGGAGTTGTGGATTGGTAGGTTTCAGATGATCCTCCCATGTTCGGATCACACAGATCCGTTCTGCCATCCATGTGAAACCTCATAATCCATGGGGCGATTGACAGTCGCAGCAGCCCTCCCTTGAAATTGCAGAGATGATGCGTGCTGCTGCAGGTCCAGGTGCTGGAGGTCTTCCTCTGTCCTGCTCCGATCTCAGGCATTATATTGCTGTGACGGCCGAGCCTCCAGAATGAAAAACATGACAAAACCCCAAGGAATGGCAGCTACTTATCCTCTGGCTCAGCACAGAAGAGGCGTGCGTGCGATTCAGAGAGTCCCATCATCAACAGGTCTGTTTACTTCTTCATATTGTCAAGCTTATTCTGTTTACTGCTCATGTGCAGAGTAAACTACTGCGCTATTGTTGCTTCTGCTGCCTTGCTCTTGCCGCCGCAGCTACAAGCCCTGCTACGACTACTTCCGGACAGTGGGATACACCTCATGCGACTATCGCATGTACGGTGGCAGGTGGTGTGGAAGACGTATCTGCAAATCAAATCAGTATCTTTGTGTTCAAGTCATTCGGTGTGAAGACATTGTCGCTGAATGGCGTACATATGAAAAAACCCTGTGCAGGGTACTGAGCCCCGCAGACACTCACGGCCTACTTGAATAAGACTTGTATAGGAAGAGACCTTCATGCGAAACCTTCAAACCATGGCGAACGTGTGTCATGCCAGGAGACTGGATCGTTGATGTTGATAGAATCAATTCTGGCAACTGTTCTTCCTCCTTTCCTGCCCAGCCTGGTCGGAACCCAACCTCCCGACCTTGAGTGTCCCTCTCGCTATTATGGGTGCTGGGGTGTTGAAGGGTCTGAATTGGGGTAGGAACCTCCTTAAACCTAAGCCCTAAACCCTACCTAAAAACCCAAGTACGGAGAGGTGGCCATCTTTTATGTTCCTTCAGCTCCCCTGGAGAAGAAGAGCAGAAGTGAGGCAAAGGGGCTATTTTCTCAAGTTGGTATAATAGGGTATATATTGGGGTTATATTGGGATAATGGATAAGAAAATGGAAGCTACTATAGTAGGGTTATGTAGGGTTTAAGGGTGTGAGGGTGAAGGGGGTCGGGTGCTAAGTCAATAAAAGCCAGTTTGTTTTTTGCTTTGAGGCTTTTTGTGAGAGAGGTTCCATGCCTGAGGTTGAGAGGGGGCTGTGACATCTTACGCATTTTGCAGGGTTTGGGTTCAGCAGCCGAAGCGGAATTTGAGTGAAGATATTGTGGTGATCATGCGGGGGTCGTTCGCCAAAAGAGCGGCTCTTCATGTGCGCCCCCTTTTCCGAAATGCTCAATCGCAGGAGAAAAAAGGATCCATGCGCTGAAGAGCTGCCCACTTTGTTCTCAGTTGCAGAGCGGCCAGGAGCAGGGTGTCCCTCGGGCACAGGCTGCCACGCCATTACTGCTGCGGCGATTTAGCATCGTGGAGGCGTGGAAGAGGGATAGTGCTACCCTGAAAAAAAGGTGAGGATATGGAGCTGAGGTTGGGCATCTCTGAGGGGGGATCGGCAAAGGATTTCTCAAGCATTTCTCAAGCATGGTTGGGCACCTTCTTTGGGGAGGGCATAAGGCTTTAAGGCAGGCGGAGGCCTGATCAAAAACAGCCTCTTGACTCGTGGCAAGTCTGTTACCATTGCCAGGTTCGGACTCTGATGATGGACAAGGACTGTGCGGCGACTCCGATTTCCCTGGCTAAAGTGAGGCATCCCATTGGGAGCTTCGTATGTAGAATCCACGCAGCCGTGTTTTGAACTAGGTGGCCAAAGCGAGAGAGTAAGATTCAAATCAGAGCCTTTTGTTTGCCGCATGGTATACTGCTGCAGGACCTGTCCAAGGAGTCTTTTCGCAGCGTCTCCCTCTACCATGGGCCGTTCCTGGCTTGCAGAGTTCGTCAAGTGGGACGTGAGATCAAGGTTCTTCCAGTCCGAATCACGGTTCCAATGTACCTCTTCCTAGACCTTACTGGTGGCATCCTCCATATTAAGATTTACGGAATGGTGGCACACACGCAGATGGCGTATTCCCAGAGCAAAGCGGTCCTGCTTTCCCAATCCCATCAACGCATCAGGCTTCCAAAAGGCGATACCCTGCTCCACACCGTCAAGGCCTGATGTTTTTCATGAATCAGACAAGAAATTGCGCTGACGATCAATGATATGATAAGACCAATTCCAACGCCCCTCAACCCTGCATCCTGAAGCCACGTACACTCAAAACCGCAGGTGGCGCAGCAGGTCTTGGAGGAGGACTCCTCCCCTGCCTCACCCCGGAGGTGGCTCCAAACAACTGCTTAGGTTTGAGTTCAGGGTTTGGGTGGCTGAGGATTCAGGGTCTAGAGTGAGGTCGAGGGTTTATGGTTTGAGCTTTGCAAGGGTTTCTCACAATCAGGGGTTGACGGCCTTTAGAGGATTTGAGGTCAGGGCTTGGGGTTTAGGATCAATCGTTTAGGGGCCAGGGGGATGTATGAATCCAAGGGAGTAGCTGGGCCATGTGATGCCTGTTGCAGTGGATGAATTGGTATAGATATGGAGTGCTACTGTACAGAATTGTATGTACACTTGGATCTAGAGTAGTTGTGCTTATCCATTTCTTGTGGAATTTATAGTTTCTCCTGGGGTTTCAATGACTCAAATCAGCACCTATGTCCTTGGTAGCAAAGTTGATCTAGGACAGGATACATTTCCGACAGGAGTCTTCACACCTCACAATTCATAGTCTTGATAATCCTTGTGCGGCAGATGACAACAAGGCCCCATCTTGTTCCACAAGATCAGCGAGCAGAATCTAGCCTGCTATCGTTCATTAGGTGGTCAATGTGAAGCATCTGCCAAGAAGCAATTTGGGTTGCCCATATGAGCTATAGTCTAAAATCTTCAAAGGGGTTATTCAGGGGGATACTAGGAGTTTAGACTATAGCTCATATTGTCCTTGGGAGCCAGTGCGGGGATCTCAGACCAGCGAGGCACATACCCAAACAGACGCCGCCAACGGGGTGTCCGGCTCAGACTGAGTTCATGAGTCTTGTAAAGTGCTGACTCGCATTTGGAGGAACCACAGAATTACGGGTCCTTTTTGCCTTGCCTGCTTCTCGACAACCGCTGCCCCTCCCGGTTGCCTTTGTATCTCTTGTCCGCAGCTGTCAGCTGTTCAAAACGGAAAGATGGCTCTAGCATACCCGGGCTGTGCTGTGCACCACCCGGGGGTAGCGCCCTCAGGCTTTGGAGCGGAAAGGCCGGCTAAGCATGAGGCCTAAACCAATCATGAAAACACGGGATGCCGAATTTGAAAATCCAAGCAACTTCTACAAACTCACCAACTCACTGCGTCCAAAAGCCAAGGTGCCGCCAGTGCTGGCGGCCCCTCGGGCCATACAGGGACGGGCTGACTCTCATGGAAAAAGGCCGGAGATTGTGACAGGACCCACCTTGTAAGGAGTCAAGACAAGGGGCATGCTTTCCAACCCCCCCTCTCTAATAAGTAGACATCCCACTTCAGTGACCTTGCGCTAGATCATCTTCTCAGTCCTTATCCAAACTGATAAGATGGACCCTTCTTTGTTACGCATTGCCTCTGATAGATGCAGCCCCAACCGTTTGTCCTTTAATGGATGGAGCAAGCTGAGTTTTGGGGTGGAGATGGTCTGGGGGCTTTGAACCTCAAGCCAGAAGTCCTGAATCCAAAGCTCCAAAGCCACACCGCAGAGGCCGGAGTGCAGTGCTGCAGCGGCGCTCTGCGCCGGCGCAGCAGCGAGTGCGGTCGGGAAATGCCGTCGGCGGGCGGAGGCCAGCGAGGCCGCAGAGTCTGCAGAGGCTCCAGTTTAGGGCTCAAGGGCTTGGGATTTCGCGGGTGCTGGTTAGAGGCGTGAGGTGTTCAGGGCTCGGGTTCAGGGATTTTGAGTTTTGTTGTCGAGAGTTGGCATTTTCAAGACAGGGGTTTCTGGTCGTTGATTGATTTCAGGGCTTGGACGGAAGGCTTTTTTCAGGGGCTTGAGGTGGTGATCAGGTAGGTGGGTGGGTAGTGGTGCGACCGAGAAACTGGACACTGCATACGCAAGAACCATCATCTGCACTGTTTTCAAATGAGACCTGGAAGAAGAATAATGATTTTTTGGTGAGTTAGCCACAACCATTGTAGTTGTCATCTGGTTAATTTGCTGTTATCGATAACTACTCGATCTTCCTTGGTGTGTTTGTAATTGGACTTAGCGTGCCAGCGTTTTGAAATCTGATTCTCAAGATTGCCTGAGGATCCAAATTACAAGTAGCACTTGAAGCTTAGGACTTGTACACCTTGGGTCCAGCACAGAACATATCTTTGGCGTTCTTGGATACACGGGCTAAAGGGCAGGCTAGCAGCAAGGCATTTCATGATGATGGTCTTGGTCTCGCCAATACTAACTAGAGATGCTGGCATTAGAGAACTTGAGCACCACAGACCACAGTGAAAGCTAAGAGGAAGGACAAGGAACGATCGCTCTACAACGCCAGAATTAGGGCTGGGCCGGTATATCTTCAGCAGTTACGGAATGACCGAGAAGGGCGCTCCTGCCAGGCGTAAGTGTGACCCTACATTCATTGGGTCAGTGGGGTCGCGGTCCATGGGGTCGCAGATCTTTGTCTGCAGTTCAAGCAGTGGTCAAACCAAGGGGGCAACCATTCACGACTGCGAAGGACGAAGGGGTCCAAGCAAGAAGGCTATAGAGAGTTGAGTCGCCAAGAAGTTCTGTGGGGCAACTAGAAAACCCCACATCTGACTGAAGATGCTGAACTCGGACTAGTGAGCGACGAATCTTGTGAAGGTGGACAGCGAGACAGCACAAGAAACCAGCTCGCTGGGTGCGCGATTCAAGCGCTGGTGGCAGAAGCTCCGTGACTGGGTTTCGGGTTGAGGGTTCGGGGCTAGGAAAGTTCATGGCCTAGGTTTGGGGTTGAATATTTTGAGTGGCAGCCCCAGCCCCAAGTTGTGGACTCTCTGACTGTTATACGGCAGCTCTAGGGTCCAAATGAGATTACGATTGTGCAGTTTTGATCAAGGCTAAACTTCATCTTTTTGAGATGTTTGAGTTTAGGTCAGTGCATGTTCATCTGGCTCATCATGAGTATGTACTAAGAGCAGAAGCTACGGGTAGATACATCGAATGTTTCACCAGCACAACACTCCACGACCGCGTGTACACAAGTATTTCATGCGGAGGAAGCACCAGTCTTGCAGTGCCAGTCCAGTTTTGTACAATGATTTGGCTTGCAGGTATTACAGTTTCACAACTGACAGTATTGTTCTTCTGGTATGTTCTGGTCGCTTTTACCACTGCCACCATCTCCTATGCTGCTGCTTCTTGCTACTTCTGCTCCTGCTGCACTGCTATTGTTACTATAAGTGTGATTGTCATTACGCCCATGGGCCCCCCTTGATCTATGGTTGGGCGTGCTATGCGCAGGCAAGACTCTTAGCCTGTTTGCCAGATCTAACCGAGCATGATCAGGTAGCAATGCTGCTCGCCACTGCAAAAAAGGGGATGTAAGTCTTCAGGAGTCTAGGTAACGCATTCCAAGACTGGAGAAGTTGTTGCCAACTCTCACCTCAACCTTGCCCATTGGCCAGTAGTAGCTCCATAACCCCGAAGCACTCCACACCCATGCTCAGGAATGCCAAGATGGATTCTAAGTCCTTACGCAAGATGGGCCTCATGCCGCCTGGCAGAAGCGTGAGAGGCGGAACACACTTCACGCCAAACTGTGGGCATTCTGCACTCGCTTGCGGCACGACATTTGAAGCTCAGGTGCTTGCTGTCCTACGGGTTTGTGTCCAACGTCAATGCCTTGCTGTTGTGCCTTGGACTATGCCATGTCGCGGCGCATTTCTATAACGACTTCACAAAAAAAGTGCTGATTGCTAGGGAACGATGGATCTGAGTCATAATCACAGAGTGAGACTTACCTTAGATTGTCTGAAAGCCAGAATACTCCATTTCATTGCTCCCTAGTCCCTGCATCCTTGACTCCTTGACCTTAATCTCTGAACCGTAACAAGTATGGTCCAGTCCCTGAGCCCTAAACCCAAACCCCTAAAATAGCGTAAAACATACAGAGGATCCTGCTGGCCACATATCGTTCGATCGTGGCCACTGGCGCCAGCCCACTTGCAAACCCGGCGTGGGGCCTGGATTTTGTAACTCTTGCCATTTGAGGGTGTATAGGGTCCCTAGGGTTTCTCAAATTATGGGTGACCTGTGTAGAGATATGCGTGGAGTAGAAAAGAGGGATGACCCTCTCAAGATTGCAAGACTTTCTAAAGATGATGGATGCTGTTTTAGGGTACCGACAGCGATTGTTGGATGATCTCACCTTTGGGCTGCATTAAGCGGTCTCAGAATGGCCACACGACGTGTCAACTCTTGAATGATGACCACCCTACTGCTGGACGACTTGTGGCGAACTTCCTTTCTGCATCTGAGTTTACTGCTCTGCTTTCGGTTTTAGGTGAAGCAATCAAGCCCCTCCGAATCCCTGAAAAGTCCTTTCAAAATAGGTACAGGTCCGATCATGATCCCTGCAAGATGCCTGCGAAGCCTAGCAGGTGGCCCTGAAGCAGTTTGGCATCACCTGGGCCGGCCTTTACGTTTCTCGATGCAGACTCAAGAATTGTTGTCAGACTGAGGGGTCGTGAAGTTGGGTTCTTCAAATAGACGGCTACACACCCAGACGGGATCCTAACTTCATAGGGGCTGCCAATTCCAATTTTTCTAGAACACAGCTTTCATCGTCTTTGAGGTGATCAGCAACATCGTCCGGCCCGTGCGGATTAGCATCGCTCTTGCCATCTCTAAGCCTTTCGACAACATGGTCAATGGGCTTCAGGACCCGGCGAGGGGATAGATAGTGACATTTCTTCAAGAAGCATGCTAGGTATTTTGGAGACGAGATTGGAGGATACTCCTAAAGAATCGTAGGTGGTCTTAGATGTTCTCGAGATCTAAGCATCATGCAGAACTTCAGGTGCCATTTGTGACGGTCACATAACGGCTATGTAGAGGATGTACGTTTTGTTGCGTAGAGCGCACAAGGATGATAGTAATGGCTTCTCGATGAGGATTCTCCTTCCTCAAGAAACCTAGGCCCCACAGCATGACCTGCACGTCGTGTAGCTGAGATGTCAGGACTTAGTATCTCGCTGTGAAACTAGAGACCTGTTAAATTCTCAGGATCAGAAAATCCTTATCACTGGCTGTTGCGGCTAGCCTATCAAAACGCGAGGAGGTTGTGATTCTAGCATTGGGGTTCTCAGAAACCCCTAGCCCTAAGCTAATGTGATACTCGTGCTTGTTTTCAGGCCTTGCCCTACCAGACCAACGGGAATCCTTATTGCCTCTGGCAGGACAAGTTTGGTTGCAAGCGCTGGATGGCTGTCGGACTTGTCGTCTTGCTGCTGAATGCTGCTTGGCAATACTGGCAAGTTTTATCTCGTGAAGTCTCAAGGTTGTCCTTTGGCTGTTTTCGTCTTGGCAATGTGTGTTGTGCGTATTTGAGGTGCAAGCTGGCCACTCTCCCGAACTCAAAGTCATGGGTAACAATCAGGCTTTTTTGATAATAGCAGCAGTTAAATAGCTGTGCCATCGAGAGGGGCCATGGTACAAGTACCTAACTGACCGCATCCTTCTTCAACGATCCCTTCCTGCAAGGGCCATGCAAGCTTCAGAAATCTCAGTACATTTCACAACGGCCCTTGCTTGCTTGCATTGAACTTGGTGCGTGAAGCGCATGGCTAACACCACTAGAACCTGTACTGGGTACTGCTTGAACTCGCTTCGTGTTTTCGGCTTGGCGCTTCTTGAAATGTTTCTGGTTCGCTCCGATGTCTTCATTAATTTGAGTTCTTGTGGTCCGGTTCGCGCAGTTTTGGTTCATTCGGTTCTGTTGCGGTTCGCAGCTCTTGCGAATGAGCAGGACAGGGTTGTGGTGCAAGCGCGCGTGAAGCACCAAACGATGCGACAATTTCTGCAGATGGCAGATGGAGCAGTGCTGCTACCGCTGCCGCCGCTCAGCAATTTTCTCAAGAAGCGAGTTCCTTCGCCTTGTTGTTCTCGTCCTCATCCTTTCTCTCATCCAACGACCACTATGGCCTATGATTGTTGCTACAGCCAAGGTTGTGCTCACCATTGCCCTGCTGTGGGGTGGCCACGGCTGAAGGGAGCAATGCTGCAGTTTTTGGAATAGTGGATTCTGACAATACAAGTAAGAATGACGACAAGAATCGACAGGAAAAAAGATGTTGCCGCATCATCCTCACAGTACTTGTTTGATGCAAGGAATTTTAGTATAGTCCTGGCATTCCTGGCTGGGCGACCTAACCCTCATGCTCAGGTTTGGTGAAGTAGAAGGAGTGGGCTCAAGATGGTACGCGTCGCGCACAGTATGTTCCGGTACCTGTCTTTCTTGAGCATTGGTTCTTGTGCTGGATCACGATGCAGCTTATTGACGTTATTTACAAGTTCAAAGCCAGCCGAAGTTCTCGCTCTGTCCCTCCCTTACTGTATCTCTGCCTGCATCTGCGTGACCCACCGATCATCTCTTCACACTTGTAATTGAATTGGGTTATCAGTTGAAAAGCTGCTCAGGCGGCATGCTTTTCGTGTCATCGATGCAACTTGATTGCAAGTGGGGGCACTGAGCAGGCCCAGCGTGGCTGGCTGCTCTGTCCATGTGTGGGCATCCAGCAGACAAGGGCACATATCTGCAAGGGCACAACAGCTTAAAGGAAGGTGCACTTAAAGTGGCAGAAGTTGATGGGCGCGGCTCAGCCAGAAATGACATGAGCCTCTCACATCTGAGAACCGGCGTCAAAGTGGATCCCTCGCAGTTCGGCACGCTGGTGAAAGCAGGGAAGGCTGCACATGCAAAGCACTAAGCTAGTACAAAGAGTTGCTGTGGCCCACATCTTGGCCAATGTCATATGATGCATGTATGGGTGAGATAACCAATAGATGAGATGTGATAGCCTAGCTTGGTGCCGTAACATGTTGAACTTGCACATGATGTCCTGTAGCTCGCAAAGCTGCTGTACCATACCGGTGCTGCAGCGAATGTTTCAAATGCACCTTATGAAGCTACCGAGCGCGTGGTAGCCACTGAGGTTTCAACTGCACTCATCGGACAAAAAGAGGAACGTGATGCTGCAGTCGGCTGATTGAAGCCTAAATCGGTCAGCTTTCACACCTCTGAGGCGTGACTGGTACCTGCTAGTGGGTACGCAGATGGGCACGCTGCAGGCGGCCGGCTTGCTGGCACGAAAGTCTTTTGCAAGTAGCATGGTGCCCATCGTAAGCACCCTAAGTGGACCCATCTATGTGCTTGCATTGTTGAGTCGTTGTCGCGACAGGGAGGAGCACAAAGCCCTGAAGCCATGGAGCCTGAGCTCTGTTAACCCCTCAATGATAGACCTGATGTCCCTGGCCTAAGTAACCTCGGCCAGGCCTTCAAGATTGCCGACCTCCTCATGGAGCTACCGATCTGGGGAAGGACCAGCAAGCTTTTGGGCGTATGGTGCTTTGGCATAGGTCCGGGGAGCCCTCAACGGTGACTTCAAATTTTGCGTGTGGTGTGTTGACCTGGCTGCGTCCGTTCGCTAGAATCTAGAACTGCATGTGTCAAGTTTGTGAGCTGTCTGGGGGTTAAGGGTTTAGGTTTTAGCGTTTAGGGTAAGGCGACTAGTAGTCCTGTTACCGTGCTCCCATGCAGCTATCTGGGATCCTCGCGCGAGTGGAAGTTTTTCAAAATACTCCCCATAGAGCCTAAGGTAGATGGTAAAACCCGCGTAACCCACAGACAATTCGCGTATTTCCCCGGGTCCCTGAGAGCCCTTCTTCTCAAGAAGCTCCAAGTGGAAGTCCAGTGTCCAGGATTGCACCGCACTTGCCGAACAAGGAAACCTCGCGGCGAAAGGTCCCCAGTCTCTGGAGCATGCAGCGCCAACGTCAATGAAGATTTGTGCAGATGGGATTATACGCAAACTATAGCTAGTTGTCTAATAGTGTAAAACGTATGCGGGTAGTCGGTGGGATGGCAGCTCTCTGAATGCACTCAGAAAAGCTAATTCCCGACATTTTGAACCCCTCTTTAAGGTCCCTTTTCATAAGGGCTGCATCAGTCTTGGAATAGAGGGACCTTTAGTTTAGAGGAATACCCCTATGACAAGCGCCCTGCAGCTACAGAGCTTCTAAGATCAAAATCCTGAGGCAAAGGTCGAGCCAAGACAATGCGAACTTCCGTTTTGAAGAGCAAGGCACAGTCCTAGCTGCCAGCAGTTGGGATCAAATGCGCACTCCGGTTCTGTCCAAACCATTGCAGAAGCTTTGGTGATCCTCTCTCTTCTCGCAGTATCTTGCGCAACGACCATTCCAAGTACTCATGCTCTTGTGTTGGATCGGACCAGTTCAAGATCCTGTTTCGCTGTGTTTTGGCTGAAGCACGATTTTGAAGCCATGGCGCTCACCAATCCAATTTGAACAAGTTGTGTCCAAATTCAGATTTAGCCTATGCCCGAGGGTAGCCTTGCTAGATGACTTCGCAAAATGAGCCAGAGTTTAAGCGCACACCTAACAGGAGGCTGACGGGCGCCTTGCGGAAATCGAGAAGGAGAAAGTCTGGATGTGTTTGGGCAAGTCTTGATGTTTGGGGCTTAGCTAGCTTGAGAGTTGAGAGGAAGAAGGCCTCACATGTAAGCTTGCGTGTTTATGGCTTTACACCGTTGTCTTTGCTTCTCTCAATTGTTGCAGGAGTACTGGTGTGGCTTTGTCATCTGGCGCTGTTGTAGTTGGCAGGATCATCCCAAACCACAGCATCTGCTCCGGCAAGCAGCAGCACCAACAACGCCACGTGGGCCTGGCAAAAGCCGGCTACTGGATCCCAAAGTCCACGTGGTGACTAATTAGGGCTACTGACTAAGGAGAAGCCTGGAGAAATAGCAACATTTTTCTAGCTGTGTATGGGTAGAGACAGGATACCTGTGCAAGGGAGATGACGCGTGCATCTAGGCATGATGTGGAACTACGAGACCACATCGCCCCTTTAGGTTTATTCGCTAAGACTGCCAGATACCACCAGCTGGGGGATCCTTTTGTAGAGCCGGCGTCAATGCGTGTGAGAGTGCGCGCCGGCCGTAACAATAAATGCATTGGTAGATTTCGTTCAATTGCAGTACAGAGTACACCAAAAAATGCTATTCCAATTGTAGAGGCTCTTACACCCCAAGCCCTGACACCCCAACCCTCTTTCCGAAACCTTAAGCCCTCACCCCAAACCCTTTACCTTGAACCCCACCCCAAAGCCTACCTGAAGCCCTGAAACCTGAACCCTATATACTATAATATATTATACCACCATAGTTTTTCTATACCTTTCCATACTATATTATACTATACTCTGCTCTAACAAGCAAGCTTGACAGGAGCATGAGGCTGCCCTGGAAGCCTCCCGGGCTCCAACCTCGGATCCATGTCGATGACCTCCTTTTTGGAGGTTTAGGGTTTACATAGGGTTTAGGGTTAAGGGTTAAGGGTTTAGGGTTTAGGGTTTACATAAGGTTTAGGGTTAAGGGTTTATACGGTTTACAGTAGGGTGGCGGGGTGTTAGGGAGCTCCTGTTTTTTGGGTGTTCAGGAGGCCTACCTTGGGAGAGAAAGAGAGGGCATTGAGGTAGCTGAAATGGGGTGGTTCTTTTGATTTCAATGCGTATATATACATAGATAGATAGACAGACAGACAGACATCATACAAACTCACCCCCAACCACCCTCGCACATGTGCAGATTCTATACACGACCCCCCCAAAATCTAGTACGATGGTCTCGATTGTCGGTCAACCCATTTGACACATGATTAGATGCAAGTAGGAATCCCACCTCGTCCCAGAAGGTATCACAGCTACTCAAACTTGTTAGTTCCTGGAGGGACCTTATCCCCACATGAGACATTCAACTTAAGAATGCTTCACGCAATCTCTAGAAGGGCCTTGTATATTCTGATGGGGAATCCCAGCTAGTCCGAACAAGCCTCTCAGCGGCATTGTACCATGTCTTGAAAAAGATTGAGAACGAAATTTCACCAGTGTATCGAATGTCTTGAGCTTTATACGAAGCCACGTTGAAATTCTTGAAGTCTAGTCTAAGATCCATGCAGAAAAGTCAACCGTCCTGCTCTAAAGGTTCAGCCTACCTGGCTTAGCAAGGCTTTCCAAATGCTGCTGCCTACTTGGTGGCAGCCATGCCTTCAAATGTAACAATGTAATAAAGACTTCCAAAGACGTTTACCCAGCCTCCAAGATCCACACTTGCAGGTAAACACTAGTCACAAAGCATAAGGGATTCCGCCGGGTCGTGGAATACCCTCAGCTCTTCTTGACAACAGATGTGACATGGATTGAGTGTACTTCTGCATGAAACCTCATTGAAGACTGTTTGAAGATTGGATTGAGTGAGACCCCACAACACTCAAATGTCTTTTACTTTTCATGAAGTGAGTCAGTATTTATGACACGGTTTGCCGTCCTGGCGTCGTTGGTTATCCGAGAAATGTAGTCAGAAGTATTCGGCAATTTGCCCAAGGTTGGAAGCTCCTTAATTGAATTTTGACCCACGTGTAATTAGTGTAAGTAATTATGTAATCTGAAATGCTATTGCCGCAGAAATTATATTAGAAGAGCAATATCCAAATCCAACAGTTTCACATAGATGCCAGGACGACATTTGCATGTTTGTAAATTTTGATTTGGAAAGTTGGATTTTTGGAATGTTTGATTTGGGGTATTTGGAAAACGCATCGGCTCCGCAGAAGGTATTGGATTTGGGAAAGCAACAAGCAATAGAGTTTCGTGAAGGCATTGAATTGAAAAGCATTGGGCTTCCGAAAGTATACTGAACTTGGGAGAAGGAGAAAGATATTTGAATTGGGACAACCCGAAACGCCAAAAATCATTCACCCCCCAAAGCCGTAAAACCATAAAAACAAAATCCGCGTGGCATCTATGTAAAGTTATTGGGTGTTTGGATTCTGGAGATACAAGAAGACGCGAAAACAAGGTCTTTCCACGAGTTTTTGGCAATCTCAAGCAATGATGGTTTTTGCATGAACATCAGCTCCGCTACGTGCAAAAGAATTTTCTACCAAGTAACAGCCGGCGCGCGGGGGGCTGAGCACATATGGACATAGTGATATTCGTGCATATATATGTAGATACATATACATGTATATATACGTACAAGGACGGCTAGACCGTTCTATCCCCGATTATGCAGGTTGTGACATCATAGGCAGAGTGCATGGACGACTGGACATGTATGGTCGCACAGATTGTTTAGGATTCTCCGTCAGCTGCGCGGCATAATCATGACCCCCAAGCATCTTCCTGTGTCTCACAAGCATCGGGGTGTATGAAGAGGGGGAAACCATACCTCTGCCGTGTCAGACACCGGGGCAGCGGCCCTTTCCGCCCAGCGTGCCGCAGCTGAAGCTCTACAGCCGCTGGAGGCCGGCGATTCCAGGAGGAAAATAGGGTTTAGGTTATATGGGGTTGTTTTGGAGTTATATTGGGATAATGGAAAATAAAATGGAAACCACTATTTTGGGTTTAGGGTTCAGGGTTTAGATGCAACCATGGGATCATTGTCTGTGGTATTGCAGTGGGTACAGAGCTGGCCGCGGTTTGAAAGACATGCAAAGCTGGTGTGGCGCAGTCAGAGTCTGCTTCCCAAAGTTTCAAGCCTGGCGTGATTTTTCATGTTCGTGTCCATGGACTCTCCTTTGAGTCCAAGGAGAAGAAAATGGAAACTCCTGTATTACAATTTGGTAAACAGTGGGATTATATAGGGATAACGGAAAAGAACATGGAAACTACTGTTTATATTAGCTTCAAGTAGATCCTGCAGACTCTGAGCATCGTGCAGTCTTCCTGATGCAACGCATGCGGATCCGCTGGTGCCTGTGACATGACGTCGGACTACTGTGGCTGCTACAATTGCCATTGCTGCTGGCCTCCTCCTCCTCCTCCTCGTCCTGCTCCTCCGCTGAGACCCTTCCTGTCACTATTACTGCTTTCGTTACTGTGTCTACATTTGCTGTTCTTTCTTCCGTATCCATTACTTTCCAGTGTTCCTACTGTTGGTACTGGCACGGTTGCCATTGAACAAAGCGCGGCTCTTCATGGTGCCGGGCTTCCCACATAGCCGGCAGATGATCCACCGAGGCATCCTAGACGCTTTTCCTAAAAAGGGCCGTGCGTACCATGTAAAACACTGGCAATTGTCACAGATGCCATGATTGCCGGCAGGAGCAGTAGGAGGAGGAGGGCGCAGTAGCAGCAGCAACGACAACAAGAACAGTAGCAGTAGCAGCAGCAATGGTAACAGCGGGAGCAGCAGTAGCAGTGCGGCCAGTAGCAGCAGTAGCCGCAGTAGCAGCGGCAGTAGCAGCAACAGTGGCAGCAGTAGCAGCAGCAGCAGCAGCAGCAAGTAGGACAGCAGCAGTAGTACAGCAGCAGTAGTTCCTTTACTCCTGCTGCTTTAGTTGCTGCTTCTCCTGCAGCTAGTACTGCTACTACTTGCTTGCTGATAGCACTGATAATGAATTGTGGTTTGAGCAGGCGCCATGACTATGCTATCGAGTTTGTGAAGTCCGTTGCAGACCTCATCCTGACCATTGACACGAAGAATGGTCTGAAAGTTTGCCAGGCATCTTGGTCTTTTTGAGCGTGTGGACCGTACCTGTCCGGGGGGTGCCGCATATTCTTGACAAACCTCTCGCCAAGAACGTACGTTGAACATGGAGATGTGCTAGCAAATGTGCTCAAGGCCTGATTCATGTTGAGCTCGGTAGCTTCAAAAGCCTTGACCGCTACACCAGCATCCTTTCTGTTAGGCGGAGGACAGCCGAATCCTGTTCCGATTGCGCCGGGGCCATGGCATCTTCACCAGGGTGATTCTCAAAATTGTTTCTGGGAAGGGCACTGCAGTTTGAGGCTGCCAAGGCGGCTCCTAGTTTTCCCAACCACTCAATGTTTCAAAATCTATGCATAGCGGCGCTACTTGCAGTAGCGTTACGGGATCGGGCTGAGGAATTTGCCAGATACGTATTGGAGAGAATAACGTGTCACAGGTTCTGCGTCAGCAGCACGAAAACTTGCACGTAGGTAAATCATCCTTTTCAACAAGATCCCACGTCCTTCTCGAACCCTTCTGATTCTGGGTGCTTCACAGTACATTGCCCCAACCTCACGACCCAGACACACATGCCTTGGACTTGTAAACTTCCCAGCGCCCAGTTCTTCCAGAGTTTTCATGCTTGACACCATACCTGGCATCCTCGGAGCCACTTCCGGAGGCCCTCCCGCTACATGTGACGGCTGGGATTTGAGCTTAGTGACGGTATTCGGGTTGTGCATAAAGTGGGAGAAGGATGTGGGCCCACATATCAGCACATTCCATATTGTGAAAGTTGCAAATCGTTTATGACTTTCATTTGTTTGGGCTTTCAGGTCCTCGCGACAGAATTTTCTAGATGTCCCCTTAATTTCCTCAGAATCTTCGGACTAGGTTCCTAAGAGTCACGCCGTTACAAGAACCCCCCAAACCCAATGTCAATGTTAATACACCCGCATTATCCCTAGAGAAGCCCTCAGCCAGGAACCCTGTCTGGGGAGAACTCCATGGAGAAGTGTTTGATCACTTGCCTTGGGCTTCACTGGTTCTCGATGGGGACAAGGGGGTTCCTCAAAGTTGTTGATGCCTCAATTCGGGGGCCCTCATGCAGTAAGAACAGTACGGGCCAAATTTTGATGGCATTGCGTGATTACTTAGTGTTGACAAGCTCACTATTCTCTTGCTTGGGTATGACTGTTGCAGTGCCTGCTGTGCGCAAGGGTGCTTGGGGTTCCAAAAAGACGCAGCGAGATAAAGAGAATGGGGATCATGCTGGTCGCTTAATTAATGTCCTTAGCACATGTTTCTCAATATTCAGGGCCTTCCCTGGTTTCATAGAAGAGCGTGAGTGAGTGGGCCGGAGCCCGAAGGGCGTGCCCAGCCTCAGGTGAAGGATTCCCAACACAAAACTTGTTGGCTGCCTGTATACACCCGCTGCTATTTTTGTCCCCACATGTGCTGAGAGGCTGATATCGATGTCGAGCAAGCCCAGATCCGGCATACCGCGGAGGAGCTTTACAGTTGCAAAGCCGATCGCCAGAAACATGGCGTGAGTGCCTCCGCCTCCTCCTCCTCCGTAAGGACAGAATCAGGAAATCTATGTGTGACTGCTGTCTGCCGCTCCGTTGGCCCAAAGAGTGCAAGAAGCACACCAGCTCCCTTTGATAGAGCTCCAACTCCGCCACGCGCCTACCATGTTCAAGGCCTTTTCTTCTGACTCTGCACATCCTCCCTGAACCCCTTCAATCCGTAAACCTGCTGACCCCAAAGCCTCTAAAGCTCCCAGCCGAGTGAAAACTCTGTTGAAGGCCCTGTGCGCTTCAAGCCTCGTCTTGGCGGTCCGGGCATCCGAGGGATGTCAGGACATCGACCCGACAGAGCGTGTCGACTGCATGAAGACTCTTGGCCAACAGTTTTTGTTGTTGGTGATTTTTCTGGTGGACCGCCATAGCTTACTTCAGGAGCAGCACCCACAAGTTTTGAAGCCTCATCAAAAGATTTGGTAGGGTTGTCATAGGTCACAGACAATCTGCAGGTCTGTTCTTGAGTTCCTAGAGTCTCATTTGGAAGAAGTTGGGCTTGTGAGTGGGACGCAACCAGGCCAATCATCGGTCTCACAACCCGACTCATGTCCGCCAACAAGCCCATCGTGCTGAAATTCAAGACACGTCTGCAGATGGCATCTAACCCTCAGTATGCCTAAACATGAGCAGAAACACTATGCAAGCATGTCAGTGACGGGTCCGGACCAACAGTATAAGTCACCGTCTGCTTCTCATGGTACCAGTCATGAAGGATGCGACATCTTTTTTCATTCCGCCTGTATGGGACCCTCAGCATGGGAGGTGGCATAAGGATGTTTCAGGAACCTCAACTGCCTGTAGCTAGGGTTGAAATCACTGGAACGCGGCGTGGGGTTGTGGCTTCTTCGAGCAGCTTCTGGGGGTGTGTTGCGGGCCCAAACTATGTACGCCAGACTGTGTGCCGTCGCGACATGCTGCGTGTGCAGTCGAGAGCAACAAACAATGATTGTTCGTGTCAGCCAAGACAACAGGATCCAAAACAAGGACATTGCCAAGGAATAAACATAAAACGCAAGTCGAGTCAAAATTCATGGGCAGGGCCACGCACCCTCAAGGTGGCGCCGTATGGCCCACAACAATGCTGCAGGATGGATGAAGGCTCTTGCACTGCGGCTGGCTGCTGCTGGTCTCCCGTGGATCCCAACCCCGAGAATCTGCCTTGGTGCTTCTTCAGTGACAAGAAAGTGCAGACCTGCAAGCTTGGAGCTGACCCCCAAGCTCCCTTCTCCGACGCAGAGATTCAGGAGGTGGCTGGTAGCATGTTGGTAGCACAAGTGTAGCACATAATTGTGAGTAAGTAGTCTTTTCTGAAAGGGGGTAGGACGGAACCTGACTTGCTGCACATACCTATTTGATTCACGCCAGAAGTCGAACTGGTAGTGGTGAATGCAAGCACAGGTCATCAAGTACTTCGAGGCGAACCTGAATGCTGAAGGAACTGGCGAGGTGATGGCCTCGCCAGACCATGCTACCGGGCCTGGGGGCGACTCTTCCATGGCAAGAATACACTCTCTCCGTTTTACGAAAGATTCTTCGGGTCTTCTTGAAGGCAGCTAAGCTGCTCGTGCTGAAGCATGACAGCAGACGGTCCGCGCTTGGCTAGGCCTCAGGCCCCAAGTGCAGACTTGACCATGTGTTCTCAGTCTTTTTTGCAATGCTGCGCCCTGCATCTGCAAGGACTACTACTTTGCGTGGGCCCGTGATGGTGCCTTGAGCATGAATGCGTACCTGCAGTCCAAGGGTTCTTTGCAGGACATGCGTGTCAGCCTCAGGGGGGAGGGAAAGCAGGATATAACGAGATTCCATGCGCCTGTAGAGTTTGGAATACTTGCATGCGTGGTCCTGTCGCCTACATGTAAAGTATTTCTCAAATGTTAGGGACAGCTGAAGCTCAATGAATGTGGTGCAGGAGGTGGAGGAAAAGATGGATTCCTGGATCTCTTGGTTGGAGAGATGCTCGTCCATGAAGCCAGTCTGGCGTGACAGAACTTGACTAGGTTCTACACTGCTTCAGATGTATTTTTACCGTTTTGCAGCGGCTTGTAGGGAGATTGTGCCGGGACTCCGTTGTCTCTTGGAATGCCTTCTGTTCCAGTTCTGTTGTTGCCTTCCAGTTGCTGAGCTGCAAATTGTCGAGCCATCGAACTCCTGCAGCCAAGGTCTGATTCTTACTTGAGCTACAGTTCCTAGTAGACGTGAGCTTGCCGTTGTTGCTGTTGCTGTTGCTGTTGCTGTTGCTGTTGCTGTTGCTGTTGTTGTTGCTGTTGTTGTTGTTGTTGTTGTTGTTGTTGTTGTTACCCCATCTTGCCTTACGAGTACATTTTTGTGCGACTCTCACCCCTGCAATAACATCTGCTGCCACACTGCCGGCACTGCTACCGCTACCATCTTTGGCAGCACCAGCAACAGAGCCCAGAATACTACAGTATATTGGGGTTATATTGGGATAATGGAAAATAAAATGGAAACTACTATAATGGGTTGAATAGGGGTTATATGGGGTTATACTGGGGTTATGTTGGGTTAATGGAAAAGAAAATGGAAGCTGCTATTTAGTGTTGAGGCTCCCACTTTCTGCTATGTAGTGTTGAGGCTCCCACTTTCGGATATTTCAGTGTCACTAGCCGCGCCAGGATCTCAGAACCAGCCTGATCCGAACAACATCAACATCCTGGTAGAGCCGAATCCCGGCTGGCAATGGGACCTGCGTAGATGGAAGGCGGAGAGAAGAAATATTGCCTGTGCGGGTTATATTGGGTTTATATAGGGATAATGGAAAAGAAAATGGAAACTACAGGGATTGTAGGGGTTATATAAGGGCAATATTGGGATTGTTAGGGTCAGCAGTTCTAGAAATTCTGAAAGGATCGTGTAGCGCTTTCGTCCTCGCCGCGAATTCTTTGTACCAGAGCCGGGTCCACGACCGACAGTTGGGAATCAAGCACCTTAACCCTTTGACCCGAAGAGTAGTTTCCATTTCATCGTCCATTTCCTTTTGCATTTGATGCTCCATTGTCTTTCTGTATACCTCTGTATATACACCATCTATAGCCCTGTAACGCCCATCTAACCCTTATATTACCCCCATGTAGCCCGTATATATGACTGCTCTCGACCCTGAGACTAGCTTGGCTTGGCCCGTCTCTTCTTGGTCAAGGAACCACGGGTTTAGGGTTAGGGTTTAGTGTGTAGGGTCTCTTTCAATGTGGATATAGGGTATAAGGGGATAGGGTATTCACATTTGTTAGTCCCTCCTGGACCTAACAGGGTGCAGAGATTCCAAAAACTCCGAAAGTTCCAAGAAATCCAAAAATCTAGAGGTTCCTTCATCAGGTTCTAGGCGCGTTGAAAGCCCTGAGCCCGAAAGCGGAAACTGCACATCACAAGGTCTGGCCTGGAATCCTTCAACCCAAGGTACCCATCCTCCTCAATCCCCAACACATCATGCGCCTTCCAAAAGTGGTCCTGGAAGTACTTTCATAGCTTGAAAATTAGGAGCATTCTTCCCTGATAGTTCTTATGTATTCAAAATATACTGCAACCTAAACCCCTGTTTGAATCTGTGGGTTCCTTGGGCTACTTTTCGACTGGTCGAGGAAGTACCTCATCCCAGAGGGCACGCCTTACACGGGCGGGTGGTGCCGGCCGCAGAACGATGGCCCAGGCAACACGGACTTTTACTTGTAACTGTGGGTTTTGAGGCTTCAGGGCGTGGATCTTGGAAGCTCAGGATTTAAGTGCGGTTGCAAGGTCAAGGTCTGTCCAGGAACGAGCCCCCCCTATTTCTACGCGGTCCGGTTGTTCCTGTGTTCTGGTTCTGGCTTGATTGATGAAGAATATTAGAACTTGCATGTAGGAAACGGCTCGATTCTTCCCTCAGCATTCCTATAATATCTGCGCAAGAAATTCTCAACTTGACGCCCCTCTTGTCGCTAAACGTTGCTTGAAGCTTTGCGGCAGCGTCTGCCCGGAACTGATTTACTTATTCTAGGTGTATCCAGATTGGTCTGTGGAACGCATCCCCTGTGGCTACAGTGAGCATTTCTGGGAATCCCCTGCAAATCGAGGCCTCCGTGCCATCACTGCCATGGCGTACGCTGCCTTGAAGCCTGACATGGGCAAGCGCATTTGGACCTTGGTGTGTCCCGGCGAGCATAACTAGGACGTATCGGGGTGCTGCATTGAAATTGTAATTGCACTTGGGCTACAAAAGCCAGGGAATTGGACACGAGTCGCAGACCTGCGGCTTGCCGGTCGCCAGCGGCCATGCTAGTTGTGTCTGCTTTAAGTTCAGGGCCTGATCCTGACTACAAGATTCATGTGGCCTGCGCCCAGGAAACAGAACCTGGATTGGGTGGCGCAGAACTACGACAGTGAGACCTGCGACCTCTGGGAGGAAGTTCGCTCCACCAACTTCTTCTGGAACCGATACACCATGCGCAAGGTGCTTTTCCCATTTTGCGGGTGGAACCTCCGCAGGTTGCAACCAACAAGGCTGATAAGAGAACTGTTACGTGACAGCGTACGGGGGATGATCTGTCAAGTGACGAAAGCACTGATGACCTTGTTCATTGCAGTTGTAGCAGAAAGACACGCGCAGACATTCACCAAATGCAATGACAAGATCACCAGCCTTGTCCTAGCAAAGTAGCGTATGAGTGCTTGTTGTAATACCTACAGTGGCAAATCTTCATTCGCAGTCAGTGGATAATGTTGTATTCGCTGTTCTTCGTAGCAGGCTTTGAAGCTGGGCGCTGAGTTTGCGAAGTCCGTCGGAGATGACGAGGGCTCGGCGGCTATGTACAGCTCGCATGCCGATTCTATCAGCAACTCTGAGGGCATGAGGGGGTTCCTTTGTCACCACCCAAGAGTTGTGAGGATTGCGAAGCTTTTTTTTTTTTGNNGGGGGGGGGGGGTGGTTTTCAGGGTTGCCATTTTGGCGTGGTCCCTGAACGAGTCTCCGCATGCTTTTGGGTTTAGGAGAGGATGCTTTTTTGTTTTGTCAGAGAAAATTCATGCAAATTGGATCACGAGTCTCTTTCAAGGAATAGTCATCATTTCCATCTTTATCATTGAGACGGTGGTATCACAGGCGCATACCAGCACCATGTTGTAGGCTCCGTATCATTGGTGTCATTCTCCTCAGTAGCTTGTCTGACTACATTTTCCAACGACCAACGCCGCTGCTGCCGTCGTCACCAGAGCGACGAGGTCTACGGCGACTACCAACAGCTACTGCTACTGCACTGCTGTTGCTGCTACTACGACTATTGTTAGTATTACTATACTACTACTACTACTA